AGCGTCAACACCTGATTGTCAATTTCACTCCGCGAGAGAGAGAGAGAGACGGAGAGAGAGAGAGAGTTTAGAAAGAATGGCTAAGATTAAAGTTACCTGAGATATGCAGCAGAGACCCACAAGAAAGACTTGACTGAGGTCGATCTCAGATTCCTGGGCAGCTGCTCTGTGAACGGGATCCAGCCAATCGTGGGGGTTTATTTAACATCTCACTGAGGTTTAGCAATACTTATACATGTATAACGATGACAACAAGTACATGGGTAAATTTTGACTTAAGCCCTCCTTTCGTAATTTACTTGACCCACTTCTTACGTCCAAGGTCACCACTCATGTTGTGATGTTGGGTGCAAAAAACGATTTTTAAAATTATTTTAAGAGTAGGAGGTGGGGGTGGGGTGGGTGGAATATATCGAAATTTACTTTCATAACCTGCCTGCTTAATGCATGGCAACAACAACTACTACAACAACAACAACAACAACAACAACAACAACAACAACAACAACAACAACAACAACAACAACGACAACAACAACAACAACAACAACAACGTTGATGTCAAGAGCTAATTTCATCGAGTTTACCCGTCTTTCAACTTGTATACAATTCCCCATTTCCGCCCCAAAATGGCGCTCTTCGGTGCATTGTTTTTTTAGTTCTTTTTTACTCAAAATCCTAATTCTTCGTAAACTCCCAAAATTTCAGGGGTTTTTTTTAAGGGATAATTTTTTTATAAAAAAAACAAACAAACCTTCACTAAAATAATATAGATCTAGTCACTTTTAGCCATTGCAAGAACATGATATTCTCGTATCTCTGAAGACTATTTCGTCAGCTATTGATATTCTTATCATATATCGGTAGTTTACGTTTTCATCCCCGCAGTTTAGGACATAATACCAGCAAAGTCGCTACCTCAGAACATCACTTCCTAAAAATGTGTCAACTCTCTATGGACAAAATCATTAGCCTCAGTACAAAGTGGAAGCCCGTAAAATGAATCGTAGGCGCAGAGGAGCACATACAATTGGAATAATATAATTCTATTACAATCAGTCCTTCATAATAACACACTCAATAAACTTTGACGAAAAAGTCGCACCTGGTAAACGAGCTCGCGCTCTGAGCCAGGCAAAGATACTAGGTCGGATTCCTTCTTCGACCTCCACCTTGTTGTAGGTCAAGGTCACTGAGCTGTGAGCTGACTGGAAACGTCGGAACGGTTGTTGATTCACGTCACTACTGTTGATGAACCTGTCTTTTCCTTGAAAAGGACGCGAAGGGTGGGGTTGGGTTGAGAAAGACTAGAAATGAAAAGCACGGTTCTACGATATGAACTAAGACCTCAGTCCTAATTTACTTGTCTTTATATAGATACATTATTTCTGATATATTATGTATTATAATATATATA